AGCCGGCCGCCATGGTCGAGGCTTTCTGCGCCACCTGGAAGCTGGTGGACAGCCACAACTTCGACGAGTACATGAAGGCTCTGGGTAGGTACGGCCGGGCGGCACGGCTAGGAAATCGGGAATTTTGCACCTCTCTAAAAAAATTTTAAAAAACGAAACAAACAAAAAAACAAACAACCAAAACCACCCCCCCCATCCAAAAAAAAAATCTTCCTACTGCCAGGGGTGTCGATAAGGCGTTCGGAGAGGTGAGGGAGGCTGTCCCTCTATGTCACAGAATATTTAGCAGTGTTAATTGATGCCGGAGGGGTGGCGGGGTGTGTGAGAGCCGTCCTGCTGGGGAGAGGCTGGGGAGATGCCCCCGTGTTAGGGAAACCGGACGAAAAAAAGGCAAGTGCTGCCTGCAGATAAACTGGGAACAAACGAAAAAGCAATCATTATGCTGGAATAATGAGGAACTGAAATCCAGAGAAGCAGAAGCGATTGCCACCCCTTCTCCTTGGGCATGCCATGCCGCTGAAGAAGGTTCCCAGTCACCGTGCTTGGAGGTGAGGGAGGATACACATCTCTGCATCTCTGTAGGGGGAGAATGTATGGATGCTTTAGGTGTAAGGGCACAGGCGAAGCAGAAAATAGCATTTCACTGTGATAGTGCCAAGCTGTAGAGCGGGGGAAATGGTTTCTGTACCTCGATGTGTGGCAAAAAAAGATGTAAAAACCCGAATGCTTGATGGATTTCTCTTTTCCCTTGCTCGTCTAGGAGTGGGGTTTGCAACACGGCAGGTGGGGAATGTGACTAAACCCACTGTGATTATCAGCAGCGAGGGGGACAAAGTAGTAATCAGGACTCAGAGCACTTTCAAAAACACGGAAATCAGCTTTAAACTCGGAGAGGAATTTGATGAAACTACCCCCGATGACAGAAACTGCAAAGTAAGTGAACTCTTGGTCTGTGGTGGCTCCTTTCTTCAAATCTTCCTCCCGCCCCCGAGGCTGTATCTTTGGTAGGGTCAAAGATAAAAAATGTAACTTCTGCTACTGCCAGTTGTAGCACTGTGAAGGACAGGGGAAAAAGAGACAAGATTTCATTTACTTGCCCACTTACGCCATGTCTTGTCTGAAGCAAAGTGTTATGTCACCAGCCCCTGTCTACTTTCCAGTATCGAAGAATTGTGTTAGCTGCCAAATTTTCTTTTAATCCAAATATCATTTGGCATAACTTTTTCCAGTTGAAATAGGGAACTGCCTTCTTCCCCACATTTGGGGTCTGGACATAAAAGTTATCCCAAAGCACATTGGAAACGGTCGTTCTTGTGAGACTGGAACTCCAAGGAAACAACTTTTTTTCATTCTTTGACATAAGCAAGAATTGTATGGAGTTCATGCTTAAAACGAGGATGATTCATGGGCTTGGCTTTAAAATGGCTGGGACTACTTTATCATTCTAGATCCACATCCATCTATTGAAGAGAATTCAATAGAACAGTGCATGCTGAATGTGTGACCAGAATACCAAATACCTCAAATAAACGAATGTCTTTGTGCTTCTTGGTATCTCACAGTCAGTTGTGACCCTGGATGGAGACAAGCTAATGCATGTACAGAAGTGGGATGGTAAAGAGACAAACTTTGTGAGAGAAATAAAGGATGGCAAAATGGTAATGGTAAGTATAAAGCTCACTGAGTATTCACATACACCGCTAACACTCCTCACTTACATTTATTTCAAGTTTTATGAACAAATAGTGTTACTTATACAAAAACCCTTAAACTAATTGGTGAGGAAAGCTAGCAGAGATTTTTTTTCAAATATTTATTTTGCTTTGTTTTGCATTTCATTTTAGTGACAACTAAAAAATTACTAGTGTTTTTAGGCAGGCTAGCCTGTGGATTTCCAGAGGGTGTATGTTCTTTCTACAGTTTGTGTAAACGCCCAGGCACCAAAAAAAAAAAAGTTCTGGTGAGCTGGGAAAGATACAAAGTTTTTTATTATATAGGCGATGATCTGTTGCCAGTGTTAATTTAGATTGCTTTAAAAACTTGATTTATATATGCATGCATAAATAATATTTAATTACACAGAACAAGATTTCCCTATGAAAATAAAATTACAACCTTGCAGGAGGTAACAGGGTTTACATATTTAATAATAAAGGGTTTATTCCTCCAGTCTTGTTTAAAACTACGATAAACAGCAATTGTGTGAAGAAAAGTCTTGGTTTAAATTCACATTCTTTTCTTGACTTTCCAGGAACATGAGTATGAGGTGAATAAATGGTGTAAATTACTATAACTAAAACCCAGGGTGGCACTTCTCCTGCTTATATTTGGCACAGAGATAAAACTTTCTAAAATAGAACATCTTCAGCTATACCAATCTATGTGACTTGGCTGCTGGAGAAAACCTGTTGGCTGTTTTCTAAATACTTCAAAGAGTACCAGTATGGATGGAGACTTCCAAATAATTACAAGCCTTAAAGCATACTGTCAGTGCAACACAATGTGCAAGTGATTCAAGGGCAAAAGACGTGCTCTGTTGTTGGAAACAGCTATACACATAGACAGAAAACCTTTGCCTTTGGAATTTGGACACGGCGAGATGCCCTGTTCCACTTCAGGAAGTACCTCCTAAGCTCACACTGTAGTTTGTGTTCTGCACAACTGCAAGAACTAAAATATTTGGTAGTTCTAGCTACAGAACGGCACGGAATGCATTTATTTTAATACAAGGTTCTCCTTAAGTATGTGCCTATATATAATAATGTAGACTATGGGTACAGAGGACTTGGATTTTAGACTGTACATTTTGGAATGTGGTCAGCTTTGGGAAAATAAGTGTTGAATCTTTATTAAAACAATGCTGTATTTAAGAAATTACATTGACAAAATTAGAAAAAGTAATTGGTCACTTCTAAACTCCCTTTAGTTGTACTCCCTTATACGTATGTATTATGCGCTTCTTGGGTTTGAAAGCAGCAAGGAGAAAGTTAGGTTTATTATGGGATCCATAACTTTGAGGTTTTGCCTTGTGTGCATTTAAAATACCAGTATTGGAGACCAACTTGTTTTTCTATAAATTACATAATGTAAAATACCCTTGCTCTAGCATGGACTTCTGAATATGTGTTAAGTCATTACAGAAAACAGTCCAGTGTCTAACATGTCTGTCTTTTCCTTGGACTTGCAGACTCTCACCTTTGGTGATGTGGTTGCTGTTCGCCACTATGAGAAAGCGTAGAGTTTACCCGACCTCTGTCCAGATGTTACTTCTGCTGGGTGGATTAATGTACCGTCCATAATCGAACGTAGCTAAAATGCACATTTCTGGCGTGAAAGGTTAATAAAGAGGGTTTTTTTGGGTGGTGTTTTTTTAAAAAAACTTTATGCCATTGAATTGGCAAGCTTGTGCTGTATAGTGAAACAGGTTATACTTGGCATTAAATTTCTGAAACACTTGCCTCTTTTTTACAGTAAATGGAACATATTTGAATTGGTTTGGAATGCAAATTAAACAAAAATTAAAAAGTTTTTTAAACCTGTGCTCCTTTTGCATTTAATCAGCTGATATTCCCATGTTCTGGAGGGAGTTGCCAAAAGTTCCCTTTTCCAAATTAAAGAACAGAAAATCATGTGGTACACAACACTGCAGCAGCCTCTCCCTGTGATGTAGAGTACATGGGAAATGAAAATTGCCTTCACTCTACTTCGGTGGCTTTTTTCTTGTGGAGAAATCCAAAGCCACCAACTTTATATATGTTGGCAGAGAAGTGAGAGGCTCAAGCCCAGTTTCAGCTCTTTTCATGGGGAACTTGTTATCCAGTGCATGCTGAAGTTGATAGCTAGACAGCCTTTGATGGGAGGAGGTGATGTTGTAGTTTTGGTTTTAATAGTTATGACAGTTTTTAGTTGGTTTTGGTGGAGGGTTTTTTGCTAATATACAAAAGATGGAAGTAAATCAAAGCGCAAAGATTAAAGGGTTTCACAGGACTGGAGGAAAGGACCAACATGGTAAAGGGCAGGGCTGGGGCAACCTAAAGGACAAAGCTTATACTTCATCAGTCTCCACAGGGGTGGGAGGAAAACGAAGGGAAAACAGTACAAGATGAACCTTCTGAGATTGCCCTCCCTGAGCTGTAGTTTCATAGCTAATATGTATGGAGATAAAAATTTGCACTGTGAGCAAGTTAAAATAAAATGCTTCTTAAAAGAGATAAATTAAAACCTTATTCCTGAAGAATATTCCCCAAAATAAAAAGGGTGGGAAAACCTCTTACACTTCAGATTATTAGGAAAATTGAAACAGGTTGCTGGCAGCAAAGAGGATGGAGGTTGGAGAGTCCATGTTTTCTGACGCACTGGCTCAGTGGACCACATGGAGCTGAAGCTACCCACAACCTTTCCAACAGAAGCAGAGCCAAGCTACGGCTTGTGCTGGTCAGTACTCTGGGGTGTGTGGCTGCAGAGGGAGGTGCAGGAGGGGTGTCCTGCCCAACTTGCTGGGCCTCATTCGGCACTGTGACATCCTTCAGATCTGCTACGTGGTATGGCAGGAAGTGGCTTCTTTCTTCCCTGGATAGCGTGGGTAACTTGGGTAGCTCATCTATCTCACCTATCTGATAAAAGCTCAGATGTAACTATGGCACCTAACCAACATGAATACAAAATTTAATGTCACTAGCTTTACTTTTTCACAAAGAAGCTGCCTGAAAGGAACATCCAAGTCTGTTTTCTCTTGGGGGGAGAAGACAGAGTCCTCAGTTATGGACCATTATAAATATGTTTTATTTGGTTGATATTGATAGTTTTTAAAATCTATGACCTAAGTTTTTTTCATCAGAGAAATGAAAAGCAGAACTTGTTCCATTAGTATGGGGAGCTACAGTCTATATTTGGGGCAGCTTCAGCTGCTATAGCGCAAGTTATGTTTAAACACCATCTTCTGCCCTTCGGTTTTATTAGCTCATTTAATCCTCAGCTTCAGTACCTAATACAGCTTTCATCTGTCTCCCCTCTGTTGCTGTCTGTTTGCCCATGGGTGTTTTCACCATGACTGTCCTTCCTAGCCACCCCTTCTCAGCAAGGTGGGAGCAGCTGCTTCTTCATCACTGGGGAAAACAAATTTGGGTCCCCAGTACTGGCGTTAATCTTCACGACAAGTGATGTGTGGGGTAATGAATTAAAAAAAAAAGAGTTTTTATTAAATATGAGGAAAGGAATGCAGAGAGAGATTGGCAATACTTTGTTTGCATATAAACCCTGAAAGGTAAGTATTTTGCATTACAGTCACTTTTAAACAAAGGCTACTTTCCCCTACGTGTATCTGTTCTGTAACTCACATTAAACCATCAGGAAGCTTATTGCTGAAGCCTTTTGCTATTCTAAAGGTGAACAGTACTAATGTCAAATTAAATAAGGGGGAGAAAAGTGAAGTGGTCCCTGTGAAGTGCCTGTGGCACTGCTGAGGAGTGGAAAAGTGAGGAAAATACTGACACATGGGATGTCCAGCTGCTGGTAAAACAGCTTTGCAAAGCCCTGAAAAGCAGATTTGAACAGAACACCACAGCAGGCAGCAGGGATCTGGGAGCAGCTACGGGATCCGTGTCATCGTTATTCTGGTCTGCTAAATCTGACACCGAGTCCTCTTTCTTCACCGGAAACTCCTCTTCAGCAATGAGCAGGAGCTCTGCTACCATAAAGCCTGAGCAACAGAGACTCGTATTTACAACACACTTCAGCAATTTCCTTAAGCTGTATTAAAGGTGTATTTGACGGCATATTTCATCAGCTTTTTCTCAGTGCTTTTTTACACATGCTAAATAACCAGGACCCATTTTAACACGTATACTGTGAGAAACCTTCCTTTCAAAAGATGCTGGAGACTCCTGCGAAGTATCCAAGCAGCGCTGGCCGTAGGAGGCTCGGGGCTGCGGCTGGCTCTTGGCGGGGAGGATTTGAAGCCATAGGTTCCGGCCGCTTTGAAGAGCTGTAAACCCCTCGCTGGGAGCCCAGGGCTCGAAGGGACGGAGCGACGCCTATGAGGTCCTCAGTGTCTCAGCGCTGATCCCAGGGGTGACGACACCTGCAGGTCACTCCGGTACGGCCGGCTGAGGCGACAGCAGCTGCCCCCGCCACCCC